TAGTCGGACAATCTCTTTGATATCCCATGCAAGTAAAATTTTTCTAAAGGTACTGCAGAAATGGCTGCAACCATACATTGACAGAGAACTTCCAGAGGTTCAAGCCAGATTCAGAAGAGGACATAGAGAGAGGGATATGATTGCCGATGTCCAATGGATATTGGCTGAAAGAACAGAATACCGGAAAGATGTTTACCTATGTTTTATTGACTACACAAAGGTTTTTGATTGTGTGGATCATGACAAACCATGGACAACATTCCCAAGTATGAGTATTCCAGAACACTTAATTGTGCTCATGGGGAATCTGTACAAGGACCAAGAGGCAGTTGTTCGAACAGAACACGGGAACATTGAATGATTTAAAATTAAGAAAGGTGTGCCACAGGGTTGTATTCTTTCACCATACTTATTCAACCTGTGTGCTGAGCAAATAATCTGAGAAGCTGGGTTATATGAAGAAAAACGTGGCATCAGGATTGGAGAAAGACTCATTAACAACCTGCAATATGCAGATGATACAACTTTGCTTGTTGAAAGTAAAGAGGACTTAAAATATTTACTGATGAAGCTCAAAGACCACAGCCTTCAGTAGGGATTACAGCTCAATGAAAAGAAAACAAAACTCCTCACCACTGGACCAACAAACAACATTCCTATCAATGGAGAAAAGATTGAAGTTGTCAAGGACTTCATTCTTCTGGGATCAACTATCAACACTCATGGAAGCATCAGTCAAGAAATCAAACGATGTATTGCATTAGGCGAATTTGTTGCACCAGACCTTTTTAAAGTGTTGAAGAGCAAAGATGTCAGCTTGAAGACTAAGGTGTTCTAGACCCAAGTCATAGTGTTTTCAATAACCTATATATGCTTTCGAATTATGGTATTGGAGGAGAATATTAAAAGTGCCATGGGCTGCCTAAAGAACAAACATCTGTGTTGGAAGAAGTGTAGCCAGAGTGCTCCTTGCAGGCCAGAATGACCAGATTTCATCTCTCCTACTTCGGACATATTGTCAGGAGGGACCAGTCACTGGAGAAGGATATCATGTTTGGTAAGGTGGAGAGTCAGAGAAAAAGAGGAAGACCCCCAGCAAGATGGATTGACAATATGGCAGTATCAATGGGCTCACACGTGGCAACAATTGTGAGGTTGGCCTAGGATTGGGCAGTGCTTTGTTCTGTTGTGCATAAGGTCGCTTTGAGTCAGTACTAACTCAATGGCACCTAACAACAACAACAACAACAATCCATAGCATAGTATTCCATTTCTGCAGGTCTCTTCTGGTTTCCTATAGTAGTGTTTTATAGTTTTCATTGAATAGGTCTTTTTTTTCTCTTGTTTGATTTATTCCTAAGTATTTCATCTTTTGGGTGGCTATTGTAAATGGTTTTGTTTTCCTGATCTCCTTTTCAGGGCTGTCTTTATTAGTGTAAGTAATCCAACTGATTTGTGTTTATTGATCATGTACATTGCCACTTCACTGAATCTTTCAGTGAGATCCAATAATTTTCTTTCTAAGTCTTGTGGATTTAGAAAGGTGAAGGTCTGGGAGAAGCCTGGGCAGAAGGCTTCCATTGTCCCCAGGGGCCTGCTGCCCCCCTTCCTGCCTGTGCCTGGATGCCTTCACCAAGTCAGAATGGCTCCGACTGAGCGTGCTCAGGGTCCCTTAGTCACTGGATTCGGGATGCATGACTGGAGTCCCAGTGAGTATTTATGATGGCTCCAACAGTGAGTATGCACAATTGATGACAACATTCCTCCTCTCTTCCTAAAGTCTGCTTGTCCACTGTAGGACCTTGTGTCCTTGTGTTTGGGAAAACAAAGAGTATCATAATTGCTCTGTTTGGTTTCAGAAAGGAGCCCGGGTGGAATCATGGTTAAAACACTCAGCTGCTAACTGGACCCAGGGGCCACTC